ATGCCGTCTTGGGGATGTCTTCTGCTCTCACTTTTACCTGATGGTAACCTGATCGTAGATCTATTTTAGAAAAGACCTGTGCACCCTGCAACTGATCGCCAACGTGGCTCCTTTCGGAGTGACGCGGTCTTGCCACGTGGCAGGCCCCGGTTGGCCGAGACTGCTGACCGGGCCTGCTGACGTGGCTGCTGACGTGGCCCCCCCCCCTTTTTTTTTTTCCCCCTCCTTTCCGGGTGCTACATAACCGACAAACACACTAGACTCGTGCTCCATTAGCGACCTTAAGCAATTTCACACATTCGTTGATTCAAGAAATACCGTTTTATCATTATTGAACTTTAATACCGTGATAGAAAATAGGGTGAGGGGTCCTTACTCGTTTCGGGGTCCGAACACGGCTTCACAGTGACCCTACAGGCTGTCCCTAATTTTCCCTGAATTTTTTCTGGGGAAGTGAAACTCACTACTGGTACCTGCACGTGTTCCAAAAAATTCCAAATTAGGCCCAGGGCCCCTTTTTGGCCAATATCGTAATTCCGGCACGGCGGCGATTCGCTTCGGGTTGGCCGTTTTCAGCCGTTTTCGGCCGAATTCGGCCACACTTGCATCGGTCCTTGCGATAAAACAACCCTAGGGCCCTCGGGGGGCCAAAAAATTACGAAAAACCGAAGCTTACCGGCAGCGGTGCTCTCGAATGCGGCGACTCTCCGGTGAGGTTCGTGTTTTGGTGATTCGGCTCCGATCAACCTGTAGAGAAAAGAATGGTGATCACGGTGATATAAAAATTGCATCAAACGGAGGTCGGGAATGGCCTCATCGGAGGCAAAAATCGAGGAGAGGCGCGGCGCCGCCGCTGGGTTTCGGCGGTGTTTTCCGGCCGTTTGGCCAGGATTTTGGCTCCGATTTGGCCACAGGGGAAATCCGCGTGGAAAAACGAGTCGGGGGTATGAAATTTACCTCGATCGGCGGTCGAAAATCTCCCCGGTGCAGCGGCGGGTGGCGGCGGCCGGCTTCTCCGGCGTCTGGTTCGTCTTCTCCGGCGAGGGCAGGCGGCTAGGGTTTTTGTAGTCAGGTGTGGGGGTTCTATTTATACCCTTTTGCCTTTTGATCTCAGCCATTCATTTTGATTTAATCTTGGCCGTCCGTGCGCACGCTTGATCTGGGCCGTCCGATCGCGCGTACGCAGATCGCCAACGTGGCCCGCCCCCGGTCGACGTGGTTTTGCCACGTGGCAAGTCCTGGTTGACCAGGACTGCTGACTGGGTTTGCTGACGTGGCTGCTGACGTGGCGCTCTCTTTTTTAAAAAAAAAAAAACTTAATAAAAATATTTAATAATAAAATAATAAATTTTTCCAAATTTTCCGGGCGTTACATACATTGTTTATTTTTTGCTTCATGAATTTTTATTATGATAAATGTAAACTCATTAAATCTTTTTGCTTACATTTTTTATTTTTTGGTTCATGAATTTTTATTATCATAAATGTGATTATTTGATAAAAAAAAATTTCTTTTAATTCAAAATGATCAATTACGTACAACAAGAATAAGTGATTGTTGAGATGAACATGTACTTTAAATTATAAAGAGATTATTTGAAACATATTTATTTTAATTTAGAGAAAAAATATACTAGAGTACCAATAAATACCATGCGCTTGAATTTGTACATGGTAATGTTCATCTCTTATTAAATTTACACAATAGGAAGCAAGCATGCGAGAATCTAATTAGATGATATTAGAGGTGTGCGACGGATAGAAATGTTTGTTAGTGTGCGCAATTTACTAAAAGTTGAGCGGAAGATGGCTTGATTGGGTTATTTCTCCTGCCAGTGAAGGCCAATCTTAGTTATTGGTAGCTACTACAGGGTGATTGATGTCTGAAAAGTAGTGGCCAACTATAAAAGTTGACAAACTTTAAGGTTCTTTTATTTCACTAATGAAGGTTAAATAGAGTTTGTAAAGATCTCTCAAACTTAGAATTTTGATAACATGTGAAGAATGAAAAGTTCATATTTTATAAAATATTAGAGTCTTATAAATATACATTTATATAATTATAAAAAAAATACTTAGTTACAACAAGAGTGATATATAATAAATATACATTTTACCGTACTTATATACACTTTACACTTCTCAACAAATATAAAATTATAAAAAAATTAATAAAACATAAAAGTAGAAAAAAATCATTCAACTTAATGACACCTAAAAATATAATGCTGCAAAATAGTAAACTTATAATAATAGAATAAGTCACATAATTATCATGTTAGTAATATATTTATAATTTAAGAGTCACATGAATACGTCTTTTGTAATATGAATATTTATATAATAATATTAGATATATTAATATTGATAATAATTTTTTTAAAACAAAATTAAAAATTAAATTAAAAATAATAAAGTAATCAATTTGATCTTTTTAATAGAATTGGAATTTTTAAATATATCATCCCAATATAAATATATCATTCTATTGAAAGTGTAGAGACTTGCCTGCTACCACTTGATAAACAATAAATAGATGATCACGTGAAGAGTGCAAGATATTTAAAGAAAACTTCAATGTCAATATGTTTTTGACCTGTTAAAATATCTTCCAGCTTTCCCATTGAAAGCATGTCAATCAATTTGCAAAATGTTTTGAGAGACACCTGAAAATTAAAAAATGATGCCATGATAATTTTTTCAATTTTGTGAAATTAAAAAAAATATATATATACTGAAAGATGAATTAATCAAAATTCATTGTAGTGATTAACTTACACCACTAAGTCGTGTTTCTAGCTCTTCCATCTCATCCAGGCTAACAACGTTGAAATATTTAGAAATCTAAAAATTATAGTAAAATGTTAGAAGTATATAACGATAACCATAATTGAGATAGTTCTTCCTCATTGATAAGTATTTAAAAAGTAATATAAACATGAGTATGCAATCATTCTTTACATACCATTCTTATATACCTGAGAAAGCATATTAATGATTCTTCTTGTATTCTACTGGTATCATCCTTTTTTATATCAAAGTGTAGATTTTATTGAAAAAAAATCATGTAATATCTCATAAATAATTTTAAGTCTTTTTTAGTTTGATGCAAAAATAAAATATTTTACCTGAAGAATGTCTCGCTGTTGCAACAAGGAAATTTCCAAATGAAGTGTAAAGACTTGATATAATCCCATTTTTTCCATTATGCTTTTATTGTTTGTAGTTCCTACGACGAGCATTTTGTTATTCTAATAAAATGAAAGAAAAACAAAAACACATTAACTAAGTTCTGTAAATTTCATTTGAAAAACATAGAAGTCATATTTGAAAGAGCAGTTATGGAAAGAACCTCCGGAGACTCTTTAAGCAGATCTAGTAGAGTATTAAGAATGGTTCCTGAACAAGTGCCTCCAAGTGGATTATATTCCACCAGCCTACACGTTATAACATGGAATAAGTTCTCAAAATTTTAAATCTAATTAAGCAAGAAAGTACATAAATTGATAACTAATATTATGTCTTTATGGACATGAGCTTTTTCCTAAAAGTTAAGAGTTTAGTAAGAGACATAATAAACTGTGTTTTATTTATACTTTTAACTACATGGGCATAACATATTTAATATAAATAATAGATTGTATAGTTTGTATCAATTCAAAATTTTTGAATAATTGAATCTGGTTCAATTTATTTCCTAATACATACCTTTCTAAGTTATCAAGCAAAATAAAGCTTGATTGGAATTTCTTAGCATCTTCAAAAACCTAGAAGCAATTTTATGAGGATATTCAAAAAGAAAATTATTCTTAAATTTTTATTGTAGGAATAATTATACAAAAAATTTCATAAATGTAGTAACAAACCTGGACAAGTTTTTCAACTTTCTGTTCTTTAGATAGTTCAATTAGGGAATTAGATGAGACCTGCATTTGTTAAGACAACATAAACTTTGAAATAAAATGCAATAGAACACAAAATAAATGACTCACCATGATGCATTCCATTTTCTTCCACAGTCAATTTGGTTCAATTACTAGTCAATTTTTTGTTCCAATTTGCATATCGAATTTTAACAAGTATAATTAAGAGATAATCTTTTCATTTGAATGGTTACCAACCACCATCCCCATTTGAATTTCTTGGCGGTGGGAATTCAATCACCATTTTAAAGTACATGAATTGAATGCTCACTGTAAACTAATTTTAATGTAAAAATAATACCATCAATTATAATTTAGAATATCTATATTAAGACTAATACGAGAATTATAAATAAGAATTTCCTAAGAGCTTAAAGAAAATTGAATCAAACACAAACTGGAGTTTAGATAAATACCATTTCCACATATTGAAATGAAACATTTTCCGGAATAAAGGCTGCTAGAGTAGTTTTGCCACTGATCATGAAGAGTAAGTACATTATTAAAATAGTTATGAAACACTTAATTGAATGATAAGAAAAAACTCAAATTTCTAATAAAGTTAATGAGTTACCATCCGCATGGACCAAATAAAAGACAGGTCAGGACATTATGTTTCTCGCTGTGAAAAAATTGCGTGATTGCTCCTTTAATCACGTTGCTTGTTTCATAAAATGAATCTAACTTTATCATAGCGCGAGATCTGCATAGAATTTAACTTTTTATTAGTCATTAGATGAGAAGCATGCCGAATTAGCAAATAAAAAACACATCTGAATTAAACTACATTGAGAATTATGCAGAGAAAAATCTCTTCCCAATAAGTGCTACTAGTTGACTGATGCAATTATAATCTTTGACTTTTTATATTACATTTAGCTCATTTCTCATTCAATTTTAAATTCTACTTCTTATATTACTGCTAAAATGCATGATTGCAAAATAATTTATTATGTCGAAATAACTACCTCTTCGCATCAAATTCTTTAACATTATAACTTTTAACTCTTATATATAAAAAAAATCAAAGAAATTCAAGTTCTAGAAGAATGTTATGTTAAACACTCTAAATAGTATTCTAATTATATAAAAAAAATTAATATAAAAATTAGAAGTAAGAACTAGGTTAAAATTGGGCTAAATGCAACCTCATTGACGTGATTACTTATACACTATAAAATGTCAATTATGACCCCAATCTTGAACCTACCAGCAATATTTTTCAAAAAACAGATACAAGTGCAACTTTTTCTTTTTCTTTTTTACCTGAGGTTTTCAAAAGCTTCAAGTGATTTCTTATAAGCTGTTGGCCGTTTTTCATCCATGGCTTGGATAAAGTCACGATGGCTGATCTTAGTTTGTTCACTCTTATCTGATATTGTACATGAGGCATGTGCTACAGCATGCTTAACAATACTAGCAAGGTCCGCGCCACTAAGACCACTTGTCCTTTTGGCTGCATATACCAATATTAATTTCATAATTATCATCAACATTCTGAAGGATATGATTGTAAAAAAGAAGAATTTTTATGAAGTTCATTTCAAAATGCATTTTTAGTTTAATTAAGAAATGATAAAAATTCCATCAAAATTATAGAAACTGAGTGCACAGAATATTTGAAATAGAACTAAAATAATACATTTCTATTTTGATTAACTTTAATTTTAGTTGAAGTTCTTTATTAAGTTTGTTGTGTATCATCTTTTAATAAAATATATATCTTTCTAATTAAAGTAACTATACTTTTCAAATAAATTTTAAAAATATGAATTTACTCAACATAGCTTTAGAAAGTAATTTACTAGAATTTATCAGGAGTATTATTCCACACACCAATTTCTTGGAGGTTTATATCTGGAAGGAGCATAATCTCTCTTGGCAGCTGCTCCATGTGGACTTTTAAAATATTTTGACGGCTAGTCTCATCTGGTAAACCTACCTCAATATGAAGCTCTAATCGTCCAGATCTATATGCAAAATAAGTTGAATAATTATTAAAAAAAATAATATATTCAAAATAAAACAAAAATATATATATTTGAAAAGACTTATTCATTTCAGATAGAACACTTTTTTACATAATAAAATTTTAATATCACAATATTCTTATTTAAACGTGATTTTTTTACTAAATAAATTTTTACATAAGACCCTAGTGCCATCAAAGCTTATTCAAAAATGAACTTTTAATATCAACAATCCCTTAGTGGGATGATAGATATTTTCATTCTCTTTACGAGAATTTAAGTTTGAGTTAGAATCATAAGTTTCATATATATTTTCAATTGAAAATTTGTTAGAAAATTAACTATATTGTTATTTATGTACAAATATCATTTAATTATTAAAATATATGATTTTTTTATTAAAAATAATTAATATCTTAATAATTTATTAATATAAAAACTTTAAACTTATGTATCAAAAACCAAAATTAAACCTTAATAGTGCATCATCTATCAGATCTTTCCTATTGGTGGTTCCAATGACAAGAATGTTGTTTATTCCGTTGACACCGTTGATCTGAAAAGTTACAATTGATTAGATTTGATTTTTTTTTTTATTTCTCACAAAATTTCATAAATAACTACTAATAACTACAAAAAATACCATTGCTAACAGTTGATTAACAACCCTATCACCTCCGGTATCTGCAGGATTTCTTCCTCTTTTCTGCATTTGTATCAACAATTGGATGTCAAGAAGGCGACTTAAAATTTTTCATTCAACAATCAATGTCAAGAGTTTTTCTGGAAGGGGAAGGGAAAGAAACTATGGAAGATGGAGGAATGTGAATTACTTGGTTCTCCAAAACATAGTATTAACATACATTGAATATATTAAACGTAACTTTATTCAAGGAGAGAGTTCAATAGTTTGTTGTGATGGCCAGATTTTATATCTTCATTTCCGTATACTTAAAATTACACCATAATTCCTTTCAAAATGGACCCTACGCCAAATATATGATTCTGATTATAACATAAGAAATAAAGAGGAATACCTGCGCAATAGAATCAATTTCATCTAATATTATAACATGGAGGGAACTTTGATCTCCTGGGAAAACGAATGAAACAAGAAGGTTCTAGTAAACTTTTAAAAAAACAAAAAAAACAAAAAAAAAAAGAAGAAAGTAAAGAAAACCGAAGATTGCAAATAAATTTTACCATGAGTTTTGTAATCTGATATGGCTTCATCAAATAATTTTCTCACATTTTGCTCTGATTCACCCATCCACTGTGCCAATAACTCAGGTCCATTCACAACCTGCCATTTTTTTTAACCGTGTAATGCTTTGATAATTAGATCTAACTAGCTAACCTTGAAATTAAGAGTTCCATGTCCTTTTACTTTTACTCTTGTAAACTTATGATCAGAATATCAAATTACCAACCTAAACTTCGAATAAAAGAATATGTTGTAGTTCAATCAAGAATTTTTCTTTTCAACCACAATTTAATCTATGAACTTATAGTATTATTTCAAAATAATATATTTCATGAGAAATTTATAGAAATGACAAAAGTTATTTTTTCTTGCTTGAGTAGCACTGAATATTGTTTGGAAAAATATTTCACACAGAACTAGGAATTAGGGGGAAAAAAAAAAACAGAAAATGACTATTGTAGGTCTCCTTTTTTTCCCTAACGTATATTACTATTATGCTAATGAAACATCTTAATTTTTACTGTTAAGTTTATTTATGTTAATTTTTAATTACTATTACTTTTAAACTCTATAAATAAATTATGTTAGTTTCTTTTTTCAAAATTATTTCTATGTTTAAAAACTAAATTGTAGCCAAAAAAATTAAAATTTAATTTTAGTATATTAAATGCTTCACGAACTAAGACAATCATCTATCATAACTATATTTTACATAGAAGGTGGAAAAGCAAAAAAAATATTTAGATATATGTAAAGAAATATTGGAATGGGTTGAATAACAAAAAGTTTCCATCTTTTAATAATTGCAAAATCTGGTTTAAAATTGCGAAAATTTTCCATATTCTAACAAAAAAATGAGTATCTATTACATGTATTATTAATTCTGTCAAGATACAAACCTTTAACTTAGCACCTAAAATTTCTGCAAGCTTTGCCGCTAATAAGGTCTTTCCAGTTCCCGGAGGTCCATATAGAAGAATTCCTTTTACGTGTTCAATCATTGGTCTAAAATAATAAAAACACATTAATACTTCCATAAAACAATTTGGTTAAGTAATCAATTAACTTGGAGTTTAAGTACGTATGAACTATCAATAAAAAATGAAATTAATATAGACATGGAAGGCCACCAATGGATCCGTTAAAGGCATGAAGATAGTAGGTTAACAAAAAAGAAGCAGGTAAGGCTCCCAAACCCGAACTCTAAACCATATGCACAAAGGAATGAGGTAGAAAACGAAAAATAATTCAATTAGAAAATCAAATTCTAAAATCACATATAATAATTAGACTAAAAATTATCTCACATTTTTTAAATTAACATAATTTATTATGCATATTGTATACTAAGAAACTCCTATTGACGTTCTCTGCAAGAAATCAGAAGTAAGGAGACTATTACCCTTGATGAATTCTTGTTGCTATAACCCTTTGGAATATAGTTGTGAAGATTCCGCCCATGCCGCCAATGCCAAGTAACATCAGTTCTTGCTCTGCTGCATCTTTATTTATTTCCCTCCAGAACATTGTTTTAGGCACATATTCTTGATTTAATATCTGTTTAATTGCAAGAAGTAATTTACATCATGTTAGAACAAAGAAAACATAAGATTTTAAAAAATAAGTTGTCTATAACAAATCTAGGCACATTTATAAAATTCATTTAAAACTTTATATATAGTTCAATTGTAATATGGTGAAAAAATTTCTTTAAATAATAACAATTAATCTTACATGGAACTTATATAGAATTGAAGTGATATATACATTTCAAATTTCATTGAAATTGATAAAATTCAAAATAAAATTTTTAAATTGTCCGTGAAAGATTAATTTTATTATCTTTTGACAAAATTTATATTGTCTATAGTTAAACTAAGTATAAATAGTTTTATATATTTAAATTTATCTCATATACAATCTTATATAATAATATTATAGAAAAAATTACCTTAATGCTAGAGGAATTGAAGAATATCTTCGTTGATTGAGATATCATCCCCTGTTTATTATAAGAATTCTTTTGGGCCATGAAGATACGAACAACAGTAAATGCACCGATGACTCCTTTGTATTCGAACGAAATACTTTGATTTAAGCACAGCACCTATAAGAATTTTAACATAAAAGGTTTTTAATGTGAGAGTAACATATTATTGTATGTCAAAAAAAATTACGAAGAAGTAACTGCAAAAACAACATTCAAATCCAGCAGAAGCTATGTTTTAGAGATAATAATTAAATTCACTAAAAACAATAGAAACTGCAAATTAGGAGAACTTTCCGAGTTCCAAGATATTATTCTAAGAGCAATTAAATCAGTCTCATGCCTTTTATTCAAACAGAATATATGCATTTGGACGAAAAGGTTTAAACTATTTCAGTATAAGCACTCAATTTATAGCTGGATTAGATCTTGCAACACTAAAAAGAAGTCATTCATATTTCTTTTAGTTTCATGAAATCATAGATATTTTTCTACTTTGTCAACCAAACTGGCAGAGTCTCCGAATCCAACCTTAGAGAGTCCAGGGAAGAAAACCGTATTACTTGCATATTTGGTAGATAACAAAATTAGATAAACTTTTTTTATTAAAAAAGGTAAAATATTTATCTATTAACAAATATCTAAAAAAAATTACAAAGTACAATCATAAATTCCCAATAAAAAAAACACCTGCAGCTTAGAAAGCAAAGCATAAGCCGCTTCTAAAAAAGAGATCAGCTTGCATCACAACAAGAACTGCAGCGCAAAAATGAATCCATACAAAATTTCTACCGAATTATACGCAAAAATAAAATAAAATAAAAACATTTATTCTGTTTAAATAAACTTTAATAAAAATAAAAGTCATAATTCAAGTACGTGATTCTAATTCTAATAACAAACTAAATAAAAAAAATCAAATTGTTTTTAAACCTCAATCTATTATTCATACTTTCTTATGTTTTTTTCATGTAATAATATTACCAGGTTAGATCCGTAGATTATACACAAACCCTGTTTTGTAAACTTCTTAATTATATCACGTGTAATCGTATTTTGCATGTGTATCTATCTGCAATTTTTTTTTCCCAAAAAAAAAAAATTCAAATATCTGTGTTATTATTTAAGGAACTGAACAAAATGGCATGAATGGAAAATTACCTGATGGTTAAATAGATCTTTTAGCTTTTTCTCCAAGTCACGAGCATAAATCTATACAAGCAGCAAAAATTTCGGTTAACCCCGGACTTGGAGCCGGTAAATAAACAAAAGAAAATTATACCTCTATGTTGTTAGAGAATTTCAATTGCAAGTAGAGCTCCGTGATGTCAAAATTAGCATGAGGAAGATTGAATCTGCAAAAACAAGATTATCAATATTGTGAGACTTGATCAAAAAATGCCAAAAAGTCAACGAGTAAAAAACTAAGAAAGGATTAGTTAAAGATAAAAGACTCACGGAGTCACTGTTGCAGAGTCCCCTATGCTGGTCTGTGCGAAGCTGCAGTGTTGATCGTTGAGGCCAATTTCGCCTTTCTTGATGCTATTATCTTCTGTGTTCTTCTGTTAAAGGTGTGTTTCATGGAGACAGAGAGGAAAAAACTTGAAGGTAACAAAAAGGAATAAGACACCACCTTAAACAGATGTATAATTGACCAAATAATAAAATATTATAAGAAGACTAAAACAAAAGGCCAATAATGAAGTTGTTGAAGATGAAGATTGAATTTTACAAAAAATAAAGAAGTCAAAGACCAAAAATATATCGAAAACAAAACGAGTTGAGATTGAAATTGAACTATTAATCAAATAAAACTTCAAAACAAAAAAAAAAGTAAAATGATATCAAAATACAACAAGTAGGAAAAAAACCGATTGAAAATAATTTCAGCTTCATCAATACAACTTCCAAACAGAGGCCGTCGCCGTTCTCGTTCAACAACAAAAAAGTAAAGTAAAACAGAGGAAGTATAAAATGAAGCAATCAAACGTTGTAATGCTGTTAGAAAAATAAATGAAGCAATGGGAAATTGTATCATCCACAAGAAAGAAAGGCATATGAAATTGAAATCAAACATCAGATGAACGTTAAACACAGATTTAGAAACACAATGTAAAGAAAAGGATATGATAGTCTGACGACGAGTTTGTCATTAACGGATGCCAGGTACAATTTGGAGATTGATTCGACGCGGTATATTTCATATCTTGACTGTACATGTAAGCTCGGTTGTAAACCTGTATCTCCATTACAGGCCCAACTTCATCTAGGTGCATGACCTGAACCAGCCATGTTTACTAAGCTGAGCTATAGGGAACCGGTAAGAAGACTCGTGAAACAGAGAAGGCACCTGAATAGGAGGGTGGGGGGGAGGGAAGAGAGGGAAAAGAACGAGAGAAAGGTACTCCAAAGCAGAGAGGGGAACACATATATAAAGGAGGGAGAGAATCTTCTAGACTCTGAGAAGTAATTCTATTTTTTTAATGGATAAGTAATCCATTTTTTAAAAAGAGACGCAATTAATACCGTAAAACTAACTATTCGAAGTGAGGTTGTGGAGACTAATACTTTTTTTCTGATTTTTTTAAAAAGCTTTTCTCATATTAAATAACAAAAATAATAATAAATTGATTAAAATAATAATAAATTCTGTCGCAATGGAAAAGATGCCATTTTATCTAGTGTCGGAATAAAAATAATAAAATTCATACAATTTACAAAGAACTCAAATTTAATACACAAATTAATAATAACTCATATATCCTATACGTAATTATTATTTTTATCCTATAAATAAATTTGTATTTTTATATTTGAAAAAAATAAAATTTTCAATGATATCTTATCAATTAAGGTTAATTTTTTTAAAAATTTTAAAATAATTTATATTCGTTTAACGCCTAATTATTCAAAGAACAAAGTTAAATGCCATTGACCAAGCGCTCGGCAAACTGAATTGGGATTGGGTTGTTAGCGCGTTCACGTATACTTACCATTTTGTACACATCATCACCACCAGCAACTACCCCAACACATAGAATACGTGTTTTCCGAAAACGCAGCTCACTGACATCATATGTGTCGTCATTATGGCTGAATAAACGATGCCGTTTAGGCTCATCAAAACAAAAGGACAAAAAAAAAAGAAGAATTTATGTTTTTCCTCAACCACCACCTTTCACCAACACCAGTGGGTCCTAAATCCAAACAAATTTAGCTTTCCTCGTAAAATATTACCTGGGTTGAGCTCGTTTTTAGTGTTTGTTTAATTAATTATATTCTGAGTTTTATTTGTATTTTCAATAATAAAAGAATTATATTGAATTTTTTAATTTATGAAATTTATCAACCACATAATTTTTTTTACCCAAAATTTAATTTAATTTAATTTAATTTAGTTACTAAAATCTCATTAACGTTTTAATAAAGTTTATTAATATATTAATGTATATCTTTAATATTTCGATCATGTAAAATTAGTTCATACTTGGAATCCTTTTTTTTTCCCCATAGAACTTGCCTCTCCTTTTCACCTCCATCATAATCTCCGTATACAACGAATTATACAATATACTCTTTTTTATTATTATTATTATTTTTTTTTTACTGTTTCATAAATTTTTATTATTGTTGTTATTATTTTTTTAATAAGATAAAATTAAGTTATGACAATATTTATCATTCAAAGTTTATTTTATTTTTTAAAGAAAATTTATAATAAAATTATAATTTTTTTTATAGAGTAAATATTATTAACTTAGACACATGATTTTTTTATTAAAGAATTATAATATAACCATCAAGAGAAGCCTTTTTTATCATTAGTAAATTGTTACTTTCACTGTGGGTTTAAACTTGCTAATATAATATATCAAATTAAATATTTTTATTATTAAAAATTTAATTTATTATTAGATTAGTAAAATTAAAATTATTAAATTCTATTAAATTTAATCGAATTTATTATGTTTATAAATTAAAAAAAAATATTTGAATTTGAGAAAACAACCACTTAAAATTTGATACATTATCCTTTTTTTTAATTAAAAAGATAAAAATTTAAAGTAAATGTTATTTAATGTTTATATACACTCTAAAACAAAATAAAAGATATGGATCAAACTCAAATGCTCCATCAT